TTGCTTTTTTTCCAGGAAGTTAAATGAGAACCAAAAGAATTACTCCACTATTGAAAAAGAAGCTTTAGCTTTGGTTTTGTCCTTACAACATTTTGAAGTCTATGTCACTTCTTCAATCAATCCGGTCATGGTATTTTCTGACCATGATCCCCTAAAATTTACCTCTAAGTTAGGACAAAATAATCACAGAATATTGAGATGGTGTTTATATTTCCAAAATTTTAATCTGGAAATTTCCCACATTAAGGGAACTGAGAATGTTGTGGCTGACTGTTTGTAAAGGATGTAAAATCTTATTACACACATTGATCATGTGACATGTTTTGTGGTTCATTAGGACCATACACAAGTGGTTTGTTTAGGTGACACTCACATGAATGTGAGTGGTATGAGTTTTGAATTTTTTTCAAAATTACAATCCTGTTGAATATTTTGTTTATTTTCAGGTGAACCTTATTTAAAGGTGGTTTTTCATTATATGTAATCTTTTATGATAATATGTCTCATATGACTCAGTTGATATTGTAGCTAGTCATTAAAATAAAGGATTTACCCTGTCGGGTTTACCACTTTTAATATCCACATGGAAATATTGTAATACCACTTTCTGAGGGATTTTGATGTATTATTATTTTTTGAAAGGGTTACTCCCCTTTCACGAATTGTAAAGGTTTGAGTTACTTCCCTTTTATGTCCAGGGATGTTTTCACCTGGTATTAAGATTTTGGTTGGCTACATTTGTAGAACATTTTTTTTATTTTATTGCCAGATTGGTTCCTTATGTATGTTTTTGTGGAACCTATCTGTCACTTCCAAAAAGGGAGGGGATGTGACCTACTCAGGTCTAGTAATGTTTTATTTCTAGTTTGACATTTGTTATAATACCGTATATGGTTTGTGGTGCAACAATCGGTTTTTTCCGCTGTCTTACTAAGAGAGTCTTAGACTCAGAAATTTTCCATCGAGAGATGATTGATTGTTTCAGACCAGATGACCACCTCAACCAATGGTCTTACGATCTGAAGGTGACCTTCCATGTTACCAAAGTCTATAAATAGATCGCCCACAGGTGTCTCAAGGCAGTCCATTTTGGCCAGTTGAATGTGAGAGAGCATAAGTCCTGAGTGTGCTATGTATTATTAAGTTGTTTAAGTATCCTAGTATTATATTACTTGTGGCCAAGTGATTCTTTATGCTATAGCAGTGTTATGTGAACTGTGGCTATTTTTATAAAGTGTTAGAATCTGTGATAGTATTTATTCTTACGCTTTGTAAGTTGGGTTTTGTTATTTCTAAACTAAATACTTTATCTTGTTTAATCTAGTGTTCTGCCACAACTTTGTTCACTTATTAAAAGTTGTATGCAGATTGAATGAGTTGTTAACTTCAATAGTTTCACTAGTTTTCCCTAGACCTCGAAACCGAGCCCTAGTGAGTTGTTGAGTTAGTTTTCATTCATTTAGGCTTTAGGTCATTTGCATATAACCCCAAGAAAGAATCCGGGAGCGTTCACCATCTATCTGGCTGGTAGATAGGTGTCCGTTACAATATACATATACATACATACATACATATATATATATATATATATATATATATATATATATATATATATATATATATATATATATATATATATATATATATATATATATATATATATATATATATATATATATATATATTACGGGGGGGGGGTGACACCATTAAGTGCTGCATCTCGCTACGCCACTGCCCTACACAATTGACACGATGACACACGACAATGATTAAACCGAGCTAGGGGCTGTACTCAGCGCCCCGGAGTTAGTGTCCCTCACACCTAGGCGGTCGATAAAGTATATTCTACCTCACTATTACAATCAACGAAATTTTGCAAATGCATTGTTTACATTAAGCAACTCTGTTTTTTTTTTAAACAAGATAACAGGTCTAGAATATAGAAATGATAATGCATTAATGAAATCCTCCTGAAATATTTCTTCAGACTTTCTTCTAACCCTGCGGCAACGAGCGGGACGCGCACGCTATTATATTATAAATTATACGTCAAGTTTTGTGAAAATGTCAATTTTGATTATTTCCTAGAAACACTTCTACAGCGACGCACTAAAAACAATCAGCGCAGAATGGAAGAATCAAAAGATAATACATTCTAGGTTCTTTAATATCACTGCGGAGAGAACTGCACAGAAAAAAAACATGAAAATAAACAAAAAAAAAAACACAATGAAATACAAAGACCCACACAAAAAAAGTTAACGAACTAGCAGCAATCTTATTGTGTACAACACGCGATAGGCGTGGTTCACCTAAGCTTGTTAGGATATGGAAACACACATGTGACCAAGATCAAACATAAACTCAAGCACTTACATTCTTCGATCATAAATCATATTTTGTACACATTATCATACCCACAGTCAGGGCCGGTGCTACCTATAAGGCAAACTAGTCGGTCGCCTAGGGCGCTATCCATTGTGGCTCAAAAATGTGTAATCGACTTTATTAAAAATTACCTAATAAATAATAACTTGTTATATGTTAACCTATAGACAGGGTTAATATTTAAAGGCGTAGCGATCTATTTCGATGCCCAGAGCTAACTATCAATTTTTGCGCTCCACCCTTATATTAGGCCTATATTAAGCTGATCGCGTTGGCCAAAATGCGCCCCCCCCCCCCACGTCCATCATTTGGAAAGGTCGGGGCGCCACAAGATCCTAAACTGAAATTTAAATTAGAATACTTGGATATGGGTATACAGTCTATTGAAGAGAGGTTCCAACAATTAAAAACACATATTCTATTTGGCTATCTTTATGATAGATCCTATATCAACGAAAAGACACCTGCGGATATACTTACTGCAAAAATTAAGAATAGTCATTAATGCATAACGCTAAAACAGATATTGATGTTGATGATATTTGCAATGAGCTTCAAGTAGTGGCTCGAAGGCTTCCTAAGCATAGTCCCCATCATATGTGCTTCTCTATATAACACAATCGAATTTGAAAGATTGTGTACCACATCTTGTTTCCTTGATAATACTATAAATATTCTAGTGTCCATGGCTAGTGGAGACCACCGCTTTTGAAAACTGAACTATTTTTACAGGGGCGGAACTACTATACCGCTGGGTGTAGGAAGGTAGGAGGTGGAGGGCAGGCCGTTAAGGGGGAGTTTGAGTAAAGTCCGACACAATAAATTATTGTTTTTGCACATTGATAGACTAGTTGTTTTGTGAAACAAAAACTAAATAGACTGCAGCATTAATTGTTCTTCATCAATTAAAACACACTGTTGCGTAGAGAAAAAAAGCTGCATGAAAAATAGGCAAATCTTAAACAACTGCCATGATACTATTCATAATTTTCGTCCTGCATTAATGATGCATTTTAAAACAGGATTATTTCAGGGAGACATTTTACTTATACACACACACACACACACACACACACACACACACACACACATATATATATATATATATATATATATATATATATATATATATATATATATATATATATATATATATATATATATATATATATATATATATATGTATGTATATGTATATAAAAACCCCAAAAAAATGCGGGGGGGGGGGTTGCTTTTTAATAAGTTTTGCCTAGGGCGCTAAATAACATGGCGCCGGCACTGCCCACAGTTAAAAGTAAATCGTCATACTGGAAACTTAACACAATAAGACTATGATAGCTACATTGATTCAAACATTGTCAAAAGCATGAGCATCAGAACAATGGTAAATTTATAACAAATGTAAGAAACAAATTACAATTAAAAAGCAAGGGAATTGTGAGTGCAAAGATGCTGTTCAGGGGATATTTTTAAAATCTGAAAAACCTCCCATTAAAACGTGCCACTTGAATATATACAGGATAACTGTAAAAACACCCACAGCATTTTCTCATCGAAGGCATGATAAAACCGACCTCTAAATCTTATGCAAATATTCAAAAAATTGCACAGACACCAATTAGAGAAAGTTGATGCGGACAACCAGAGCCGCTTTACTTAACATGTATGTCATACTAAACTATTATTGATTGCACTATAGCAGTAGGTGTTTTGACAACAGGACAAAACACATGTGGTCAAAACTTGGCAAACCCTATAGCCAGCAACATTTATAAAAAAAAACCTTTTAACGCCCTTTTTTCATGTTTTCGCAACTTTGCATTTTTACTCAAAATTCAACATTCAAGTTGCTAAGGCTTTGGAACCCTTTGTCATTCAAGACTGAAACATTCCACTCTGCATTATACCTTTTACAAAACAAAGTATTTACATTAAGATCACTTCAATACTTTATGCAATATTGATATTTATGTAGCACCCCCCACTAATTTTTGTTCTTAAATGTACGTAAAAATTTGTATTAGAAGTTCAGTACAAGCTATCGCAATAAATATACATAGAAATGTATAGTTTTGATTTAGAAATCTAAATCTTTTATCATCTTTTAAAAATCTGTTACGGAAACAAAGTTATAGAGGTTTTAAAAGGTGTTAGTTTTCACACCTTTTTATTGTTCCCATGGCAACCAGTACTGTTATTTGCGGCTATATATTGTTTTTTGTGTGCTGTCTATCCTTAAGAGCAAAAAAATAACAATATGTAGATTATTTAAAACGAATTAATTTTGAGTAGAAAAATGTAGTTATCAAAGTCTTAGAGAGACTAGCCAAGACCCGACTTGCCTTAAAGGAAAACAACTACTTCCACTCTGAATCCGGACACGCAATCTGAATATCAGTATAACTGATATCTAAGTCTCAATTTAAAGTTTTCATATACATCAAACTAGTTGTCAAATGGCGCATTGACACCCATGAACCTAACAACAAATCCACTATTTATTGTACCATAATAGAGCATTTAATTTCCATCGGTTGGTTTTTTTTTTTTAAATTGGATTTTCAACATGTATTTTGTGTTTATGAGTTATATATAGAATAAAAACTACATACCTGTTCATTGTGAGTGAGAACTGCAATCTTTACATAACAATCGAAGGACCTGTTTTTTAAAACAATTTATATAGACATTGTAATGCAATATAATTATACTGACTACTTATATGTTTCTGTGTTTGTTTCTTTTGTTTTAAATCGATATGCTGAAAAACTATCTAGGTACTTGATTGGTATTATGTGATAAAAGCGATGTAGTGATGTATATAAATAGATACAAAGATACATTTAACATATCTTTGCAAAGTTTTCCAATTTATAACAATACACATTCTGTTTAAAATCAAGGTACAATGTCATTACGACCCTGATCATGAAGGTAATATTGATCATGATCCTTCTCGAGATTGGCCTAAATTTGATGTCGACAGTGGAGTAAAATCAAGCTTGAACGTTTTGTTGAACAATAGATAATAATTTAATGATCAGATGGTGATATTGTGATATTGTTAAGGACAATGTCCTGCTCCCAGATCGAATACGGTTGCTTGTCAGGATGAACGGGTTGATCTCGTGGTATTTGTGAATTGATACATTTATAGCAGACCCAATTGACAGCAGGATTAAAGGTTTGTTTGTCTGTCTGTACCTTATTTGTGAGAAAATATACATATTTTTAATTCTGTCTTTAGAGTGTAGTAAAACTCATGTAGGGCTATCTGACGTATATGAGGCAGTAGCGTACGCAGGGGGGAGCAGGGGGAGCGGCCGCTCCCCCTCTGGCCATTTTCAGCAAAGTGGCGCCTTTTTGGAAACTTTTTGAAGTCAAAGTTTTAAACAATGATTTTTGTTAAAAAAATATTTTTGGTTGGCACATCTATGTAAATCACAAGATTTCTTTTCATGCAGCAAAAAAGCAGAGTTGTACTAGTCTAGTAGCGTCTACGTTTACAACACGTATTAACAGCTGTATCAAGTTTGTCATTCTAAAAATAACCATTACGATCCATTGCAATTTTAAAAAAACCTCTAGGGGTAGTATCACTTGGCAAGAGGGGTGTTAAGTTTAAGGCAACTGTATAATTTATTATATATATTATTATATAATTTATTTGCTTAAGAATAATTGATCTAGAAAATATTATACATAAATCTTCACCCATAATTACTTTATATAAACAGTTTAAATCGTGTAATTTTAAAAAATTACAATACAGCCACAAATACAACTGATGTGGCACCTCTATTTAAATTTACTTATAGGCAAACTGCGTAGTGGTGGGGACATTTCGACAAGGTCAACAACATCATCACGATGAAGTAGTAGTATTATGACAGTTTGGCCGATAGTGATTACGATTACGAATTATATGAAACAGTTACAACCCCCTCTCCAATGGACCCCTCTGTAAAAAAAATATTGTCATAATACCACTGCTACTTATTCAAATCTATTTCTGAATCAGTATATATGTGTATTGAATATGTATGTTTAGAACAGTAATCTAAAAACTGACGCTATGTTCACTCTGAGTTGGTTATCCCACCCCCCCACCCCCCCCCCCACCTCACTACCACAATTATGTAGAGCGACATTAATGTCACACCTACGTATACACTGGGTTGGATAATTGACCTAAAGTGACCGGACAGTGGTGAATGAAGTTGAAACCCCACCCCCAACCCACACCGAACTGATCTGTTAAGTACATGTAGAAAAACGCGTAACGATGTACTAAATTACCATGCCGCAAAAATCAGAGCTTTTGCAACAGGTAAAACTCTGTGAATATTGTTTTTGCAATTACCTGTAAAAAGGTGTGTGATCAATACAGTGATCTAACCCATACCTATCACTATGTTAAAAAATGATATTTAAAGAACAGTAAATTAAAACATATATAATCTGAACTAAAGACCTATATTTTAGTTAAATGTAAGCTATAATTCCGAATGTTCTTCGATTAAATTTTAAAGCGTGTTTTTATACAAACTCTGATTTCAAAAAATTTCATTATGCTGTAATACTTTAGCATTTATGATTACGATATATTTAATTCTGATTGTAGACACAAAAAATTGTAAACACGAATATTGTTAAACAAATATATTACATTCTAAAGTAATTATTGATTTGTTTTGACATTTATAATTAAATATGTATTAAATATGTAGATATATACATATTTATATTAAGAGAGTGATTATTTCCCCTATTTTGCTTGTCTTAATTAATGTACCAGGAATTATTAAGTAAAAAAGTTTTTTAACAAGAATTACAAAACAGATTCTGTTGCGTTCATATATATATATATATATATATATATATATATATATATGTATATATATATATATATATATATATATATATATATATATATATATATATATATATATATTTGTTTTTGTTTAGATTGATACATTTTTTGTTTTGTCGGCCTACATTGTGTGTTTTTTCTTACTTGTTCAAGTGCTACTTACAATTTATTTTACAACGTAGCGAAGTAATGACCTACAGCTAGTAAATAAATAAATAAATACATAAATTTTTAAAAAATAATATATATATATATATATATATATATATATATATATATATATATATATATATATATATATATATATATATATATATATATATATATATATATATATATATATATATATATAATACACGTATATACTACGTGTAAAAAATTCGGCGCCTTTTTTTGCTCATTTCGCTCCCCCTACAACGAAAACCTGGATACGCCTCTGATATGAGGCGATGTATTTAATTTGTAATTTTAGTTATTTGGCATATTAAATTTTTGAGACTTTATTTAATAGTAAATTGTAATTTAAATGTAGCTTTACAAATGAAAATGTCCAGACAACTTACTTTAAACAATACAAATTACTTACTTCTTAAAATTCTGGAATTCTATATTGTATAGTTCACTGACTGTTGAGTCGCTCACTTGTGTTTTGGTGTCATTTTGTACATCTTGATTTAATGCTAGGTATTTGATACGACACATGACTTATTAATAAATCTCTATTTAGAAAACACATTTAAATTTTGAAATTATATTCTCCAAATAACAATCAGCTGGAGCTGGAAATATGTTATTAAAAGAGATTTGTCTTTATTTTCATGTTTAATGCGCATACATCAACATTTTGCTACACAGATCCGAAATTATGAATAGTCCCAATTCTTCATGGTCCCACTACTCTACCTCATATATCCACTAGCTCATACCCGTGCTTCGCTACGCTATGATACTCCGGAATAAAAGTTTTGAATGATAGAAGATAATCGTACTTTATATAAAACAGCTGCACGTTTGAAATTCTTGTGAAATAAACATTTATTTCTTAATAGTAGGTGTTAAAAAGCAGGGGGAATTTAAGAGAAAGCAAACCAATACACACAATACCATAACACCCAAACCAAACCCCACACCATCAACCCACCTCCACCACATTTTCACCTCCGGTTTAGATTATACAGTGATGTACGAGTCGTTATACCTTTAAATATCCGGGTTAAGGGAAACCTAAATGCATTAAACACTATAGAGATTATAAATTTGATTAAATAATACGGTATTGTTTACAGATTTGCATCAAACTGTTAAATTCTCATATAAATATAACCGAAAACTTTAAGGTGCTGAACATGTTAGTATGCGAGGTGGTCTACATTGTGTATGCGTGTGATGTATGTGGGTGGTTGACTGAGGGTTTCAATGTCTATGTAGTAGAGTAAAAGTAAAGTTCACTTTAATAACTGACGTTCTTTGGGGCAATTGAAGTGATACCTAATACACAATAGGGAAATTCATCGCGGCTAGGCATAGTGCTAAAGACACTATCTCTTTAAATACTTAACTGATATATTCAGTTGAAATGCACTTCATTGTCAGGTTTGCAAGACAACTTTATATATATATATATATATATATATATATATATATATATATATATATATATATATATATACATGTAACTAGTGCAGTTACAAAAATAACTTATTTGGTTGTCATAGAGGTCAAGGCCAAGACTGAACTAAGTTAGAGTTATTAATAGAAACGACGCAATAGTTGGTATCGAAATAGAATTGTTTGACATTGTTGACAACACCGGATGCACATCTACGTGTGACTGTGTGTGTATATAAGCGCGAGGCTTGTGGGAGAAGGAAAGAGACAGACAGAAGATGTAGAGCGAGACAGATGTATGCAGAAACGTAGAGATCGAAGATGTGAGCTGAGAGACAGAAGATGTGAGTGAAATACAAGTGTTAGTAGATTGAGGTACGGAGTGATACAGTGTGTGGGACTGTGACAGCGGAGGTAGGTTGAGATTCACCTAATTATCTTAACTGTGATTATTCATGAAGAAATCAAGTGAAGTAATATTGAACCTGCGGGCAGAGTGTGCTTCTTTATATTAGGTGGGTGGATCGGTACCAAATGAGGTGTCCTCGGCCTAGAGGTGGCATTCCCTAAGCCGTTGACGAATACCTACAGACAGGAGGTTGTACAAACCTCTGTCGCTTTTGGGTGCCGTGAGGAAGGGGTCGCACAAGACCTAACAAAGAACGTCAACCATGCTGCTAAAACAATTACCCTTGGTCATATATATATATATATATATATACATATATATATATACATATATATATATATATATATATATATATATATATATGTGTGTGTGTGTGTTTGATCACATAAAAAATAAATGCGTATCACTTCTCTTCTTGATAAAATATAAACGTTTTAAAAATAAATTAAATGCACTGCTTACCTTGTAAAATTAATTTACAAAAATGTTTTAACTGGAATTTAAATTTCAGTTCTCTACAATTTTCGTTGACAAAAATAGATATTTTTTCCATTGTATTATAGAGTTTGTTTTCAACAGCTTGTAATAATATATCTAATAAATAAATAGCGAGGGATTTTCTAAGATATTTTTTATTAGCCACAATATTATTCCTATTAAATGGTATTGGACTTAAATCGCTTGATTTTTCAGTTACTTGTATTAGAAGAACTTCTTTAAGCAATAATTGTAGAATGTTATCATGTCCTTTGTTTGATGCATGCATTAAAGCATCCCATCCATCTATATCCACTCTTTTTAAATCAACACCGCTGTTGAAAAGCAACTCTACTAGTTTTTCATGTCCATTCCTTGATGCATAAATTAAAGCATTCCTTCCATTTTCATCCACAATTTCTAAATCAGCACCTCTATTGATAAGCAACTGTACTAGTTTTTCATGCCCATCTATTGATGCATGCATTAAAGCATCCCATCCAAGTTTATCCACTCTTTTAAAATCAGCACCGCTGTTTATAAGCAACTCCACTACTTTCTCATGTCCATAGCTTGATGCAAGCATTAAAGCATCGTATCCTTCTTTATCCATTTTTTTTAAATCAGCACCACTGTTGATAAGCAACTCTACAACTTTTTCATGTCCATTGTTTGATGCAAGCATTAAAGCATCCCTTCCATTTTCATCCACACTTTCTAAATCAGCACCTCTATTGATAAGCAAATCCACTACTTTCTCATGTCCATAGCTTGATGCAAGCATTAAAGCATCGGTTCCTTCTTTATCCATTTTTTTAAAATCAGCACCTCTGTTGATAAGCAACTCTACTACTTTTTCATGTCCATTGCTTGATGCTAGCATTAAAGCATCCATTCCATTTCCATCTGCCTTTTCAAAATTAGCACCGCTTTTTATAAGCAACTCTACTACTTTTTCATGTCCATTGCTTGATGCTAGCATTAACGCATCCCATCCACTTTTATCCACCCTTTTAAAATCAGGACCGCTGTTGATAAACATCTCTACTACTCCCTTATGTATAATACTTGATTCAGGCATTGAAACATCACTTCCATATCCACGCACTCGTTTAAAATCAGCGCCATTTTTAATAAGCAACTCCACTAATGATGTATGTCCATTGTTTGATGCAAGCATTAAAGCACTCCATTCATCTTCATCCAGACTTTCAAAATCAGCACTGCTGTTGATAAGCAACTCCACTACTTTCTCATGTCCATAGCTTGATGCAAGCATTAAAGCATCGGATCCTTCTTTATCCATTTTTTTAGAATCAGCACCATTGTTGATATGCAACTCTACAACTTTTTCATGTCCATTGTTTGATGCAAGCATTAAAGCATCCCTTCCATTTTCATCCACACTTTCTAAATCAGCACCTCTATTGATAAGCAACTCTACAACTTTTTCATGTCCATTGTTCAAAGCAATCGTTAAAGCATCCCTTCCATTTTCATCTACCCTTTCAAAATTAGCACCGCTTTTGATAAGCCACTCTACTACTTTTTCATGTCCATTGCTTGATGCTAGCATTAACGCATCCCATCCACTTTTATCCACCTTTTTAAAATCAGGACCGCTGTTGATAAACATCTCTACTACTCTCTTATGTATAATACTTGATTCAGGCATTAAAACATCCCTTCCATATCCACGCACTCGTTTAAAATCAGCGCCATTTTTATTAAGCAACTCCACTAATGATGTATGTCCATTGGTTGATGCAAGCATTAAAGCATTCCATTCATCGTCATCCAGAAATTCAAAATCAACACCGCTGTTCATAAGCAAATCGACTACTTTTTCATGTCCATTGATTGAGGCAAGCATTAATACATCCCGTCCATTTTTATTTACTGTTTTTAAATCAGCACCGCTGTTGATAAGCAACTCTACTACTTTGTTATGCCCATTGAATGAGGCAAGCATTAATGCATCCCGTCCATTTTCATCCACTCTTTTAAAATCAGCATTGCTGTTCATAAGCAACTCTACTACTTTTTCATGACCTGTGATTGATGCATGCATTAAAGCATCCCATCCAAGTTTATCCACTCTTTTAAAATCAGCATCGCTGTTTATAAGCAACTCCACTACTTTTTCATGTCCATTGTTTGATGCAAGCATTAATGCATCCCGTCCATTTTTATCCACTCTATTAAAATCAGCACCGCTGTTCATAAGCAAATCTACTACTTTTTCTTGTCCTTTGATTGATGCATTCATTAAAGCATCCCATCCGAGTTTATCCACTCTTTTAAAATCAGCACCGCTGTTCATAAGCAACTCTACTACTTTTTCATGTCCATTGATTGATGCATGCATTAATGCATCCCGTTCATTTTCATCCACTCTTTTAAAATCAGCAAAGCTGTTGATAAGCAACTTTACTAGTTTTTCATGCCCATCCATTGATGCATGCATTAAAAAATACCATTCAAGTTTATCCACTCTTTTAAACTCAGCTCCGCTGTTTATAAGCAACTCCACTACTTTCTCATGTCTATAGCTTGCTGCAAGCATTAAAGCATCGGATCCTTCTTTATCCATTTTTTTAAAATCAGCACCTCTGTTGATAAGCAACTCTACAACTTTTTCATGTCCATTGTTCGATGCAAGCATTAAAGCATCCCTTCCATTTTCATCCACACTTTCTAAATCAGCACCTCTATTGATAAGCAACTCTACTACTTTTTCATGTCCATAGCTTGAAGCAAGCATTAAAGTATTTTTTCCATATCCACGCACTCTTTTAAAATCAGCTCCGCTGTTTATAAGCAACTCCACTACTTTCTCATGTCCATAGCTTGCTGCAAGCATTAAAGCATCGGATCCTTCTTTATCCATTTTTTTAAAATCAGCACCTCTGTTGATAAGCAACTCTACAACTTTTTCATGTCCATTGTTTGATGCAAGCATTAAAGCATCCCTTCCATTTTCATCCACACTTTCTAAATCAGCACCTCTATTGATAAGCAACTCTACTACTTTTTCATGTCCATAGCTTGAAGCAAGCATTAAAGTATTTTTTCCATATCCACGCACTCTTTCAATATCAGCACCTCTATTGATAAGCAACTCCACTACTTTCTCATGTCCATAGCTTGATGCAAGCATTAAAGCATCGGATCTTTCTTTATCTATTTTTTTTAAAATCAGCACCTCTGTTGATAAGCAACTCTACAACTTTTTCATTTCCATTGTTTGATGCAAGCATTAAAGCATCCCTTCCATTTTCATCTACCCTTTCAAAATTAGCACCGCTTTTTATAAGCAACTCTACTACTTTTTCATGTCCATTGCTTGATGCTAGCATTAACGCATCCCATCCACTTTTATCCACCCTTTTAAAATCAGGACCGCTGTTGATAAACATCTCTACTACTCTCTTATGTATAATACTTGATTCAGGCATTAAAACATCCCTTCCATATCCACGCACTCGTTTAAAATCAACGCCATTTTTAATAAGCAACTCCACTAATGATGTATGTCCATTTGTTGATGCAAGCATTAAAGCATTCCATTCATCTTCATCCAGAGTTTCAAAATCAGCACCGCTGTTGATAAGCAACTCTACTACTTTTTTATGCCCATTGAATGAGGCAAGCATTAAAGCATCCCTTCCATTTTCATCCACACTTTCTAAATCAGCACCTCTATTGATAAGCAACTCTACTACTTTTTCATGTCCATAGCTTGAAGCAAGCATTAAAGTATTTTTTCCATATCCACGCACTCTTTTAAAATCAGCTCCGCTGTTTATAAGCAACTCCACTACTTTCTCATGTCCATAGCTTGCTGCAAGCATTAAAGCATCGGATCCTTCTTTATCCATTTTTTTAAAATCAGCACCTCTGTTGATAAGCAACTCTACAACTTTTTCATGTCCATTGTTTGATGCAAGCATTAAAGCATCCCTTCCATTTTCATCCACACTTTCTAAATCAGCACCTCTATTGATAAGCAACTCTACTACTTTTTCATGTCCATAGCTTGAAGCAAGCATTAAAGTATTTTTTCCATATCCACGCACTCTTTCAATATCAGCACCTCTATTGATAAGCAACTCCACTACTTTCTCATGTCCATAGCTTGATGCAAGCATTAAAGCATCGGATCTTTCTTTATCTATTTTTTTAAAATCAGCACCTCTGTTGATAAGCAACTCTACAACTTTTTCATTTCCATTGTTTGATGCAAGCATTAAAGCATCCCTTCCATTTTCATCTACCCTTTCAAAATTAGCACCGCTTTTTATAAGCAACTATTCTACTTTTTCATGTCCATTGCTTGATGCTAGCATTAACGCATCCCATCCACTTTTATCCACCCTTTTAAAATCAGGACCGCTGTTGATAAACATCTCTACTACTCTCTTATGTATAATACTTGATTCAGGCATTAAAACATCCCTTCCATATCCACGCACTCGTTTAAAATCAGCGCCATTTTTAATAAGCAACTCCACTAATGATGTATGTCCATTTGTTGATGCAAGCATTAAAGCATTCCATTCATCTTCATCCAGAGTTTCAAAATCAGCACCGCTGTTGATAAGCAACTCTACTACTTTTTTATGCCCATTGAATGAGGCAAGCATTAATGCATCCCGTCCATTTTCATCCACTCTTTTAAAATCAGCATTGCTGTTCATAAGCAACTCTACTACTTTTTCATGACCTTTAATTGATGCATGCATTAAAGCATCCCATCCAAGTTTATCCACTCTTTTAAAATCAGCATCGCTGTTTATAAGCAACTCCACTACTTTTTCATGTCCATTGTTTGATGCAAGCATTAATGCATCCCGTCCATTTTTATCCACTCTATTAAAATCAGCACCGCTGTTCATAAGCAAATCTACTACTTTTTCTTGTCCTTTGATTGATGCATTCATTAAAGCATCCCATCCAAGTTTATCCACTCTTTTAAAATCAGCACAGCTGTTCATAAGCAAATCTACTACTTTTTCATGTCCATTGATTGATGCATGCATTAATGCATCCCGTCCATTTTCATCCACTCTTTTAAAATCAGCACCGCTGTTGATAAGCAACTTTACTAGTTTTTCATGCCCATCCATTAATGCATGCATTAAAAAATACCATTCAAGTTTATCCACTCTTTTAAAATCAGCTCCGCTGTTTATAAGTAACTCCACTACTTTCTCATGTCTATAGCTTGCTGCAAGCATTAAAGCATCGGATCCTTCTTTATCCATTTTTTTAAAATCAGCACCTCTGTTGATAAGCAACTCTACAACTTTTTCATGTCCATTGTTTGATGCAAGCATTAAAGCATTCCTTCCATTTTCATCCACACTTTCTAAATCAGCACCTCTATTGATAAGCAACTCTACTACTTTTTCATGTCCATAGCTTGAAGCAAGCATTAAAGTATTTTTTCCATATCCACGCACTCTTTTAATATCAGCACCTCTATTGATAAGCAACTCCACTACTTTCTCATGTCCATAGCTTGATGCAAGCATTAAAGCATCGGATCCTTCTTTATCTATTTTTTTAAAATTAGCACCTCTGTTGATAAGCAACTCTACAACTTTTTTATTTCCATTGTTTGATGCAAGCATTAAAGCATCCCTTCCCTTTTCATCTACCCTTTCAAAATTAGCACCGCTTTTTATAAGCAACTCTACTACTTTTTCATGTCCATTGCTTGATGCTAGCATTAACGCATCCCATCCACTTTTATCCACCCTTTTAAAATCAGGACCGCTGTTGATAAACATTTCTACTACTCTCTTATGTATAATACTTGATTCAGGCATTAAAACATCCCTTCCATATCCACGCACTCGTTTAAAATCAGCGCCATTTTTAATAAGCAACTCCACTAATGATGTATGTCCATTGTTTGATGCAAGCATTAAAGCATTCCATTCATCTTCATCTAGACTTTCAAAATCAGCACCGCTGTTGATAAGCAACTCTACTACTTTTTTATGCCCATTGAATGAGGCAAGCATTAATGCATCCCGTCCATTTTCATCCACTCTTTTAAAATCAGCACTGCCGATCATAAGCAACTCTACTATTTTTTCATGTCCATTGTTTGATGCAAGCATTAAAGCATTCCTTCCATTGTCATCCACACTTTCTAAATCAGCACCTCTATTGATAAGCAACTCTACTACTTTTTCATGTCCATAGCTGGAAGCAAGCATTAAAGCATTTTTTCTATATCCACGCACTCTTTTAATATCAGCACCTGTATTGATTAGCAACTCCACTACTTTCTCATGTCCATTGCTTGATGCAAGCATTAAAGCATCGGATCCTTCTTTATCAATTTTTTTAAAATCAGCACCTCTGTTTATAAGCAACTCTACAACTTTTTCATGTCCATTGTTTGATGTAAGCATTAAAGCATCCCTTCCATTTTCATCTACCCTTTCAAAAATAGCACCGCGTTTTATAAGCAACTCTACTACTTTTTCATGTCCATTGCTTGATGCTAGCATTAACGCATCCCATCCACTTTTATCCACCTTTTTAAAATCAGGACCGCTGTTGATAAACATCTCTACTACTCTCTTATGTATAATACTTGATTCAGGCATTAAAACATCCCTTCCATATCCACGCACTCGTTTAAAATCAGCGCCATTTTTAATAAGCAACTCCACTAATGATGTATGTCCATTGGTTGATGCAAGCATTAAAGCATTCCATTCATCTTCATCCAGACTTTCAAAATCAGCACCGCTGTTGATAAGCAACTCTACTACTTTTTTATGCCCATTGAATGAGGCAAGCATTAATGCATCCCGTCCATTTTCATCCACTCTTTTAAAATCAGCACCGCTGTTCATAAGCAACTCTACTACTTTTTCATGACCTTTGATTGATGCATGCATTAAAGCATCCCGTCCAAGTTTATCCACTCTTTTAAAATCAGCACCGCTGTTCATAAGCAACTCTACTACTTTTTTATGTCCTTTGATTGATGCAAGCATTAATGCATCCCTTCCGATTTCATCCACACTTTCTAAATCAGCACCTCTATTTATCAGCAACTCTACTACTTTTTCATGTCCATCCATTGATGCAAACATTAAAGCATCCAATCCACCTTTATCCACTCTTTTAAAATCAGCACCGCTGTTGATAAGCAACTCTACTACTTTTTCATGTCCTTTGTTTGATGCAAGCATTAAAGCATTCCATCCGTCTGTACCCTCTTTTTTTTTAAATCAGCTCCGCTGTTGATAAGCAACTCTACTACTTTTTCATGTCCATCGAATGAGGCAAGCATTAATGCATCTCGTCCATTTTTATTCACTCTTTTAAAATCAGCACCGCTGTTGATAAGCAACTCTACTACTTTTTCATGTCCATTGTTTGATGCACTCATAGAACTATTCAACTCATCTTCTTTTAATTGGTTACTGTTAGCTCCGTTGTTTAAACGCAAATCAGCAGATGTTCTTTGTCTATCGCGTGATGCCATCGTTAAAACGTGTACTCCGTCTATCTTTACAATATTTACGCTCTAACCGTAACATAACGATATCGTGATAAAAATATTAAAGCATCTTCTTTTTTAAACTGTGTTTTATTTTCATAAATTCGATTAACTATTAGTTTCATTTACAATTATAAACATTTATAAAAATTGTATAGACTAATTTCCAATATCTTTGCCTTTATAATATTTCTTTGATTTTCTTTGAATTTTGGCGTTGAGCAGATTTGTATTAATAAATATATCTTGGCAACGTAGTCCATCAAATGAAAATCTTCAAATTTAGGAATAAAGGTTACGAATCGGCATGGGTTGTCAAGGCATATTGTTCTTTAGACGCTGTGAGCACATTATATCTTCTTTCTTTTAAAAGAAAGACTTTTTAAATGTGTATTTTGCCATGTTGCATTTCTGTTACCTGGTTTTGGATTTGTGATTTTAATAATAAACTATGTCTATTATCGCATAACATTTTTGTGCCTTTTGTGTATTGACGTATTTTTACAATTTTTTCGCCTTAAATAAGAATTTCGTTGCTGATGGTCCTTTACTTATATAAACCAGCGGTGCCTTAGTACTGATACTGTTTGATGAGTTTATCTGGAATAAAAAATACATTGAATCATTATGACAAGTTCAATTTGAAATGGTTTAAATTACAGAGTCTACTAGTTATGCAATAACTTTGAAAAACCTACATAATATATGTTTTATTATTTAAATTGTCTTGCTTATTGTCTACAGGTTAATTTATTTTAATTGTTTGCAACTATACGTCTTTAGTAAATTTGAGAGTGTCCTTTGTGCGTTAGTTTCAATATCTCAAAAGTTTGCTTACTCTTCTTTTAGACTGTATAAAGAGTTTGAGAAATAAGTTGACTTAAAAAAATTATAGCCAATCAGCGCACTTTTCTCTCCTTTTTTGTCTGTCACAATTGGTTTAGGCAAGCATATCAGAATCTTTTAGAATTTAAAGCTACGTACTTTTGTTGAGAAGACGAAGCTGATTCTACTGAATATATAAACTTAAGCTTATTTAAAGACTGAGATAAAAACTCAAGTCAACACATTTAAATCTAGAAACACACATTTAATTATGTGATAGGAAAAACAATGATTATATTTCAACATTTCAGGCAATTGTTATTTTTACGAAAACTTTGCGTCCAATCCGGCATGAGACTCTACTACAATTATCATGTAATTTTTTATAATTTTATAATTAAAGAATAATAATAATAATAAATCAGTTAAAAAGAAGAAAAAATAATTACTAACCGTGTTTTTATCGGAACTATTTTAGGCAGTTAATCAAGTAAGGCATTCTATATAGTGTTTTGCTGGCTTATATATTTTCGTTTTTATTTTTTTTATTTTTTGTTTGGGAATTCCATGTTATTTTATTATATCGGTAATTTGCCAATATGGTACTATTTTACAAAACTCATTCACTATTTTTAAACTTATTTTTTAAACCAGTTGTGTAATTCTTTGTTTATTGCCATAGGACTGGGTTAAATTAGTGTATTGAATGAGTTAAAGGGAATGAATGGGGCTAGATGTTGTTTATACTTTGTACACTATCATGTTGGTCTGTTAAAACCTCGTTCGGTGAGTTGTGCCAGACCGATTTGTACCTGCTGTGTACGTATATAAGGTATGTAAGAACTGCTTGCCTTAGTTAATTTCAGTTATTCAACAAGTTTAGTGTAGGTTATTTCTCTGTACCTGTAGATAGCCACTGTATCTTAATTTGTCTACTAGCGATTGTATTAAAATTTAGAATAGCCTTTGGATGTTTGTCAATAGGGACAACTGTAGTACACAAGGAGGCAATGGTTTTTGCGGCCTTTCCCACAATTCAAAAGACTACGACCGAGTGAAAGCAAGGGTTCCAGCGGCATAAGAACAGGTACCAGAAAGGTATCGCCAAGCTTTCCGCGGCTTACACAAGAAGCCAGATACCGCTTAACATTAGTTCCTCGCTGAGAAAGATTACCTGTTCAGAGAATAGCTATCAGCGTTGAAGGTATCAACGTTTCAGGATCTGAGGACAGAGATGTAGCAGGGCGTCAGGTACTTGAAGATTCTTCTCGACACTTGAGCCATGTCGACCAATTCTCCAATTTTACAGCGAATTCCTAGCAATTCATGAAAGAGCTTAAAATTGTGCTTGTCACTTGCAACGCATTCCGTCCGGAAGGTTTGAGAAAACTGGAGGGAACATTTTGAACCGTATCAATAAGAATTGGTCCTTTTTCAACAATTGTCACAATTCGACTTGCACTTTAAAGTCAAAGGGATTCCAACTTACTTACGTCATTGCTCTTAAGAGGAAAAGCCGGAAAAACTGTACAGTGTAAACTTGCTGAAGCCTTACAACCGATGGGAGAAAACACATGTTTTTAAGTCTATCCACCAGCAACAGTTCAGCAGTCTACGGCTAATATTAACGACGAAACCTCTGCGAACTATTTACAGCAACGCTTCTCCTGTACTTGGCCGTTCTGGTCGATTTAAGCTGTAGCCTGGCACCCCTGACTGAGATGCACGCTAAAAGGCTAAAGCGCTTGCTAATTTGATCCATGATTTTGCAGATGTGTTTGGGAATATTCCAAAATAACCAACATCTGCAAACATGATACTGATGTCGGCGATTCGGCTCCACTGAAACAGTGCCCATACAGAGCTAATCTGAAGAAGTTATCTGTTATCCTTTTAGTTTATGTTCGACCATAACATTATTTAAGTGAGTAATAGTAACTCTTTTTCTCCTGTGCAAATTTGCAAAAGTTGTGTAACGTATCTTAGCCATAACCTTGGTAATGACATGGGTCGAGCTGTGCATCAATCAAATTACAGCTCAAAATAACCTAGTTGCATTGTCGCATATCCCTTCAGTTGTCCTACATTGATTACACTAACTACTGCAACTACGTATACTATAACTGTTTGTATTTCTTATATACTTGACTGTCCTAGTATCTAGATTTTTAATTGTTGATACATATTTATAAATCGTGGACTTTGGACTGTCTTAGTAATTTACATAGGGGTGGGGGGGGTAGAGTGGTATTTATTGTGCAAGATGTATTGGTTTTTTTATCAGATAAGTGTACTTTGTTTTGTACTAAATGTATGCAATTTTTGTAGCATGTATTTTTTACCCTAGATTTTCATTTTTATTGCAGATTGTTAAGTACTTTTCAAAGGTTTGCTGGCATGTATACTTTGTGCAGTTATATGTGCCTGTCCGGCTTGAAATTGTTTGTGTACGTGTATGATTGTCTGATAATGTGTATGATTGCCTCGAATCAGTAGCCGCTGTATCTTAGTTTGTGTATTAGCTTGTGTATTAGTATTTAGAATTGCCTGTGTTTGTAAAAGATAGTATAGATTATATTAAACTATTTTACTGTTAAAGAGAATGTGTTATGTTTAGTCTTGTTTAGTAACCTGTTTGTGATTGTTGGTTTTATTTGTATATCGACGCACTAGATCATTCGTAAAGGCGTGGCCGTAGGTTCACACAAATTAGAAAATAATGATACATATCTTCTAAAGTTAATATTGCTGCACATGGTTTACTATATTGTTCATTTCCCAAACCATGACAAAACATGTTTGAAATACTTTATTAAAAAAACATTCTATACACATTTAATATAAACTAAAATTTTATATATTTGTTTTTATAGAAGAGCTTTTAAACTAATCTAACTACACATATAAATACATATTTACTGTTATCAGTAAAAAAAAAAACCACAAATTCACTAAATATGCTTTTTGTTTTCTGAATTAAATTTTAACATTCTTTTTTGAAAACAAACCTGGCAGTTTAACTTTGGAATAAAGCGGAAGTGACCTTCCCTAAACTTTCTCGTATATTCTTATATCACACTACGGGGGATGTCAAATCGGGATATATACATGATTTTTAATCAATCTTTAATTACTTTAACTAACTAAAATAGAATAGAAACTCGTAGAAAAAAATGCGCACAAATAAACAGCAAACAATGTATGTTTATAAGTGCGTAATATTAGTACACATTTATATGTGTTATTTTGAAATTAGAAATAACAAAAAGTACTACTTGTGTTTAATGGAAATCACTCGGAATTTAAGAGGAGGCAGATATTAGGTCTTTTACTTATATATTAAATTTCGGTTATCAATCCGAAACAGTAGGCCTACTTAAGTTATAGGCTTTTGAAAAATTGAAACTAGAAAAAGTTCCACTTCCGGTTACTAGAAATCGCTGCAAAAATGTTACAGAAGAACAAATTTGATATAATGCATACATATGACATTTCATAAACCTAGGTGTAACAGTACTCAATATTGTTCACAGACATATCCACACACATACATACATACATACACACGTACATACATGAAGAAAAAAATACAAAACTTTATTTTTCGGACTCAAGAACGTGTAAAATCTCGATTTAAATTGTTTACACGATTACACTACTTCCTCTATAGTTCGTATACATAACAGTAAAAAAAACAATCACTTTTACCTCTAAAAATAAGACCACATAAAATTCAGAATTTAGGATATATATTTAGCCTACTTTTATAAATCAATGTCAGTCTAAAACGTTTGCCAGCGGGTTAATAAAGACGAAATAATCAAATGAAGCAAACCTTACTAAATGCCAGTCGCAAACAAGTGGTTAAATAGTTACGCATTACGGATGTAATATGCTGAGTTTTTAATGTCTATTCTTAGATACACTAACACCAGCTTACAGTTTAAATTAGTAGGCGTTCATATTTAGACTTGTTTGGTTGGTGCACACTGTGTTGGGTGGTGCACAATATGTTGCGTGATGCACAATGTGTTGGGTGGTGCACACTGTGTTGGGTGGTGCAC